CCTACTTAGAACAAGCTTGGCAAGGCATCAGGGACCGCGGTTCAATCCCCCAGCACCACATGCCAGCCGGCCCAGCCCCCTGGTGGGCTGAGCTGGCCACACACACACCCCTCTCTCTCTCTCTCTCTCTCTCTCTCTCTCTCTCTCTCTCTCTCTCTCTCTCAAATAATAAATAAAAAAAATTTTAAAAAAATAAAAAGTGGCCCTTCTATGGTGGCACTTCTGTGGCATTGTGCATGCCCTCAATGCCACTGTCTACTTTATTTTTTTTTTAAATATTTTATTTATTTATGTGTGTGTGTGTGTGTGGCCAGCTCAGCCCATCAGGGGGCGGGGCTGGCTGGCATGTGGTGCTGGAGGATTGAACTGCGGTCCCTGTGCTCTGCTAAGTTTGTTCTAAGTAGGTGCTTTAGACCACTGAGCCATCTCACCAACCCCACTGTCTACTTTAAATAGTCACTTTTGTGTTACATCAGTTTCACCTCAGTAAATTAGCCTTTTAAAAAGCATGGGGTACAGTCCCATCATCCACAGCTCCTCCCATAACCCCCCCGCAGTCACATTGCAATCACGTGACCCTCCTCCTCGCTCATCAGACCACAGTCAGCATCTGAGCCCAGGGAGCTGAACTCCTGATTGGTGGCAGGTGATCTGAGGATATTATCTGGGCCAATCATGTTCCTCTTTTAGGAATCAGAAGTGATAAACCAGGAAGAGGCACAGGGTATTACTCCTGGAAGGAAACAGGAAGTCCTCCAAGGAGGAGAGGTGCGAGGCCGCCATGGTCCAGGCAGAAGGGAGGAAACAAAGGCTCAAGAGAAAGGGCAGGAACAAGGCAGCTGCCCAGAACAGGGACACCCTATGTCATCTCAGAAAGAGTGGCCTTCTGGGTACCCCACATTCCTGGGAAGTAGGGGTGTGTCACTAATCTCTCTCAGTGACCTCTGTGACTTTACAACTGAAGTAGTGGGCACAGAACCCAGGGCCTTGCATGGCTGGGCCAGAGCTCTACCACTGAGTTCCACCCACAGCCTTTTTACAGCTTTTATCTGGAGACAGTCTTGCTAAATTGCCTAGGCTGGCCTCGAACCTGTGAGCCTCCTGAGTTTTGGATTATAGGTGTGCACCATCACACCCAGCTGGCTACTTTTCTTGTGACACTTTGAGAGGTCTCCATCCTTTTCAGTGCAAGAAGCTTTGACTGATGCCAAGGGTGGTAATGCCTACCTGTAATCCCAGCACTCAGGAGGCTGAGACAGGAGGGTCGCTGCAAGTTCAAGCCTTGCCTGGGCTACGAAATGAGCTCAAAGCCATCCTGAGCTACATAGCAAGACCTTATCTCAAAATGGGGGGAAAAAAAAAGTCTAGGGAGATAGCTGAGTGGTCTAAGCACCTGCCTGGCAAGCTCAAGGACCTGGGTTCGATCCCCAGTACCACATATTGTGCCAGTCACCGAAACTGGACATGGCAGCACATGCCTGTAATCCCAGCACTGGGGAGGCTGAGATAGGAAGATAACTATGAGCCCAGGCTGCATAGTGAGACCCTGTGCCAAATAAATAAGTAAGATTAAAAACAACAGCAAAAGACTGTGGCTTTACCTTGGGTTCTCTCTCTCCTGCCCTAGGAAAGCTTACCCCAGGAGCAGCCAAGCTCTGGGGTAACTCTGTTTTTTGTTTTTTTTTTTTTTAAATTTAAATTTTATTTATTTGTGTGTGTGTGTGTATGGCCAGCTCAGCCCAGCAGAGGGCGGGGCTGGCTGGCGTGTGGTGCTGGGGGATTGAACCGCGGTCCCTGTGCTTTGCTAAGCTTGTTCTGAGTAGGTGCTTTAGACCACTGAGCCATCTCACCAGCCCAAAGATTTTAAGTTTTTTTTTTTTTTTCGGAACCAGGGATTGAACTCAGGCCCTTGCGTTTGCCAGGGAAGCGCTTATTCCACTGAGCCATCTCCCCAGCTCCGCTCTGGGGTAACTGCACAGACCACAGACCGTCCCTGTGGAGCAGGACCTTGGCTGCCACACTACCCGAGTGAGCTCCCAGCAGACCAGCCCCACCAGCCGGGCCCTCGCGTGAGACTGCAGCCCTGCCCAACAGCTACTGATCTTCCCAGTCAGCCTGGGTGGGAAGGTTTCCCAGGACTCCGGGCCTTCAGTGCTAAATCCAGAGCCTTCCTGCATGAGTCACGTGGTTGGTCACATTCTGACAGCAAAAATGCACCCTCAGGAGGGACCTGGGCTCAGGGGCCACTAAGCTGCTGCTTTGCGTCAGCCACGGACAGTGACCACAGCACTTCTAAGAACAGATAGAATGGACGACGTACACAGGACAAAGCGCTCATGTTCACCTGGCCTATTACACACCAGCGACCCGTCACTACACACCCGCCAGCCCACAACAGCCCCGGGGCAGGTGGACCTCTGTCGCTTAATACAAAATGGCACTGACACTTGGCAAACCCTGCTAGCCTCCCCCCACCCCAGCTGAACAGGCGCGCACCCTGCGTCCCAGGAATGCTGCCCGTAGCTGCCCGCGGCACGCTGGGCTGATGCAGAACGTAGCTATTGTGGGCGGATCAGGCCCGCGATCTCCCATACCAGTGTACGACAAAGGCTTCAGTAAATGAGTCAAGGGATGCGATTTTAGGCTCCAGGAGGTTAAAGCCCTCTAACAGAGTTCGAGATTCTCTGGGGACTGAGACAAAGATTTTCTCCAGCCCTTAGCCATATTTTTGTTTTGTTTTGTTTTCGACAAAGGAGGGGAATACTGAAGACTCTGAGAGGCCACAGAGACTTCTGCAGGTAGTAAAGTACACTAATCAGGAGACCATCTTATCTCCAGGTTGGCATTTATTGTAGGAGCGCCGAGGTCTCCTTTTAGTTAATTGGGTGGGAGCCAGGTGTCCTCAGCTGTGGCCTTATCTCGTCCTTTGGGGCCTCACCAGGGCTTCGAAGGCACCCCACAGGCCTCAGGCCGACCAGTGACTCACAGAGGTTCACTTACTGAGTCCCCTACAAGGGTGTCACGACAAGGGGCCTAGGCCTGGGACAGGCCCGCAAGTAAACAAGGAGAACCATCTGGTTAACTTAAAACCCTGCTCAGAGCCGCTTCCTCATGGTCTCCATCACCTGCGGCAGGGACACAGCCACTCACCCACAGAGATGTTTACAGCAAGGAAGGCCCTGGGGTTCATTCCCACCAGCGCCCCTGGCCAACCTGGAGGACATGGCCCGGAAGAGGAAATGACCTTTACTCCCGCAGCAGCCTCCGCAGGGGTCGTGCTACCCTGCCACCCTTCACACAGTCACACGGGTGACACAGGAACCAGGAGACAGGTCTTCTGCCCACTGAGGGGAAGAGCCACTTGGCCCTGCGGCCCTCCTACAGGCTGAAGGTGCCTGCGACCCAGGAAGACTCATTTGCAAGCAAACCCAAGAGCTGAATCACAGAACATGATAAAAGACAGAGTCGCTAACTGGCCTGTAGCCCCTGGGGTCTCCCCACCAGCCAGGCCCCCGGACACCAGGCACTTCGCTGCCCTCCCTGCGAGCCCTGTGACCAGGTCCCCGACTCACCCCAGCTCTGGACCCAGGACTATACCAGCCCATCGTAGAGGGACAGCGCCTGCACAATGGAGGGATCTGCCTTGGACCCTTCCTGGAACTCCTGCAGTGTCAGCTTCCCGTCCGCATTCTGTGGGCAGAGAGAGGCGGCTAAAGCAGGCGCCTGGGTCTAAGCAGGACGCCCCACATCGGCGGCGAGGAAGGCGGAGGCCGGGGAGTCACGCAGCCACCGCACTCACTGCCCAAACACGACAGCACAGGCCCTCTCTGGGGCTGTGACCTGGACCCCAGACCAGAAGAGGCCAGACTGGAGTGTGGGGCTCGCCACCTCAGCAAGCCGGGAGCCCAGAGCTCTGGACACTATCACTGCTTTGCATCCTGCAAACTGTGGTGCCCCAAGGGTCGGGGGCAGTTGCATTTCTCTGAGGTTACTTCGGGAGGGCATATAAGCCAGCCCTACCCGGGACTCCACTGGGAACTGGGGAGCCAGATGTCCACCCCAGCAAGCGGGGCTCCAGAGTTGGGGATTTAGGGTGTTATTTTAGAAACCCATCATCGCCTTGGCAAGAAGCAATCTGGAATCCACCGCGGCGGCCTGATTATCACCGGGAGACGGGCTCCGGCTGCCCCCTCCAGGCCGCTAGTCTCCCTGGTTTTAATTAAGCAAGTGCTGGCCTTGGGCTCGGGCTCCCTGGCTCGCACCTGTACCCCGCCAGAAGGCACAAGAAGCCTTCCGCCACAGAGTTCCTACTCCATCACTGAAGGCACCCAGCTCGGGCTGCCTGGCCACTATGATTTCTAAGTGCCGACTAACATTTAGCAGCATTATTCTTGTTTACTGTTTTCATTTGCTTGTTTATGTTCGGACTTGGGATTCAGCTTGGGGGTAGGGAGTGAGCTGTGTGCGCAAGGCCCTGGGCTTGATCCCCAGCATGGTCATGTGGGGAGATGAACTGGCAGACAGACAGAGATGGTTGGTCGGCTTCCTAACCTGGGGTCTGTGGATAGAATTCAGCAGGCCTGTGAACATCCCTGGGAAAAATCCAGCCTTTCTCTTCCCTAAGCTTTAGTTGCTATGCAGCTGTCCCTTCCCTGTGACTCTGGGTGACAGTCCCACCCCTGCCAGCCAGGACCTGTGACTCTGCAGCCTTCTAACACATCAGGCATGCTGCTGACACCCCAGCTTCTGAAGGACAGGACCGTCACATCCCAGGTACCCTTCCGCAGTGGCCAGCGCTCACCACCACGCTGCGCCTGGCCCTGAGCCACTCCACATTTCACTGTTTAATATGTAGATCATGAAGCCCGGGCACTTCCGTGTCACACAGATTATAGAACATACTTCGACAGCTTCATTCCAAAGTGAGCTGCTTGCATGGATTTTATCTTCTGCAGTGATAGCTTTTATTCTGAGAAGTCCCTAGATTTCTCTAAAATGCCAAAGAGGTCCTCAGCAAAGGAAAGCACATAAATAGGCCCGGTATGGTGGCGCACTCCTATAATCCCAGCACTCAGGAGGCAGAGGCAGGAAGATCACCGAAAGTTCAAGGCCAGCCTGGGCTACTCTCAAAAACAAAAAAAGGAAAGAAAGGCCAAGGACGTGGGTAAACCTAAGAGTCTGCACACTAGGTGGAAGTGGCTGCCAGCTGGTAGCTGTGACACTAGCCAGTGCCCTAGGGGGCCAGTGGTGCGGCTAGGCCAGAGTCCCTGCACCCTGCCCCCACGGGCTCCCTCCCCACAAGACCCAGCTACCTTGTCCATCATGGCAAAGATCCGGTCCACCCTCTTCGCAGGTGTGTTCTCCTCCTCGGGCAGCTCCACGGTGTTGCCCTGCCAGGACAGTGCGGCACTCTGGGCTCAGGACTCACGGGCAGGCCTGGCCTGGTCCAGCTGGGGCCCACCTCTCCCTCCCTGTCCCTCCCGGCCTCTCCCTCTCAAACTCCATCACTGCCCTGTATGTTGTCCCTGCCATACCCTACTGTCTTCCCCACCCCAGCAGTGCCCAGAGCACCCCACCTGCCCCTGACCTGGCCAGCTCTGGCCCCAGCCCCGAAACCAACCCCCCATTCCACGCTGGCCCAGCTCCAACGATCCCTTCCCTCCCCCACAGGCTCCTCACCACCATCTGGTAGATAGCATCCACGATATCCAGCATCTCGTTCCTAGTGATGTAGCCGTCGTTGTCCAAGTCATAGAGCTTGAAGGCCCCTGTAATCAGGCATCTGGGGCTGAGCGACCCCGGCCAGGGCAGTGGAGGCTCCAGAGGCCCCTCCTGTCTGCCCCTCAACACCTAGCGACGGACCTGCACATCCTCCACCATCAGGACTAGAGCTACAGTTACAGTCAAGAAAACAGGCGGTGCATTGTGTGGGGGCATCAAGCTGGCACCTGGGGCCTGGCCTCAGGGGGTATGTGGGGACTCTGACTGGCAGCCCTAAAAGCAGGACCCTCAGCCCAGGTGATCCCTGACTCCCTGCCTATGCCAAGCGTGAAGTCACACTCCTTCCGTTTGTTGAATGACCGACGGAAGTCAGCAGTCACAATAGAGGCCACTGAAAAGGCAGGTAAGGCATGGAGCTGGGCCTCTGAGGCCACCCCACCCTGCCCGCCTTCGCACCTCCCCGCCTTTCCCCCTGCTTCTGGTCCCCCGGCCTCTGCGAGTCCCTCAGAGCCACCTGGTGCCCCACTCCCTTGCAAGGGCCCAGGGCTGCCTCCGTCCGTCCTTAGACCACCCGCCACTGCCCACTTGGGCCCCAAAGACAGCAACAGCACTTACACCGTAGCTTCTCATCCAGGGTTCCCCGGGAGGTCACCGAGAGTGCCTGGATGAACTCGGAGAACTCGATGCGCCCATCCTGAGGAGGCAGAGGGGACCGAGCCGGTCAGCACCGGGCCCCGCAGTCGGGACAGACTTTGCAGGGACGTGACAGGTGGCAGCATGTGCAGGGCACTTGGGACCAACAGGCAGAGCGACAGATGAGGGGACTTTGAAAGGGGAAGGCAGGGAGGTGGCCCCAGCCTGGGCTCCTGGGGAGGCCGACAGTGGGGCCTGCACCTGGGGAATGCCCGCTCTCTGAGCCTCAGCTGCCTCATCCTCAAAATGAGGCAAAGAAAAGTGCCTGCGCCAGCTGGCTCCGGGAGCCAGGCCTGCCATCCCAGCACTCTGGGAGGCTGAAGCAGGAGGAATGCAAGTTTAAACCCAGCCTGGGCAATTCAGAGACTTCGTCTTCACCTGTGCCCACAGGTGGAACGTCCCAGCCTGCCGGGAGCGCGCAGCTGTGCCTCGTGTCTATGCGCATGCGCGTGCGCGTGCGCGGTCACGTTGCTCTTGAAGCCGCAGCAGGGCGGAGCCGCCGCAGCAAGGGGAGCTCACCACCCCGGTCCATGGTGCCCAGCTCAGCTCACCTTGTTCTCATCGAAGACATTGAAGACGAACGTAGCAAACTTGGTGGGGTCTCCGAACGGGAAGAACTGCTTGTAGATCTTCTGGAAGCCAGCAGCGTCCAGCTGGCCACTGGGGCAGTCCTTGATAAAGCCCTTGTACCTGGACAGGGGCGGGGACAGGGTGAAAGGACCCGTGTCACACACTGCAGGGAGCACCTGTGTAGGGCCCAGGAGATCGGCCAATCGCGGCTCACAGTGACCCCAGAGAGTGTCACACACACACACTTAAGCCACCATAGGCCAGCGCCCATCCCTGTGTGACCTGGGACAAGTGACACCACCTCTCTGTGCCTCCAGGATATGACAGGGGAGTTGGCAGAGGTCCGCAGATACTCCACGCAGAGTGCCACCTGCGCTCCACTCCCGGGCTAAAAAGTAACCCTAGAGCTTCCTAACCTGCCCTCCCTGCACCCCAGGGCTCCAGAGCCGGCTGAGCTGAGCCGTCTCTACCCCTCTAGCCAGCTCCAGTACCCCTATGCCTGGACCCGCCCCGTCCCACCCCTGTGCTCAGCACACAGCCTCAGCCGCCTGGTGTCCACATCGCGTCTAACTCTGCCGTTCCTTAGCCGGAAGCCCGAGGCAAATAGCTTCACCTTACCGAACCCCCATTTCCGCATCCAGGAAAAGTCATGGCTATCATGGGCATCTTATAGGAATTGGGGAGATGGTGCGTGGACACCCCAGGGCCAGACAAAAACAAAACCGGTCCTGCCTTGAGCCGCAGCACCGCCCCACCCCGACTTTAATGCCTTTAGCACTATGAACCTAAATATGTTTTAGTTGAAAGCAATTTACAAACTGGCTCCTGAGTGTGGCCTTGCAAACCCCTCTCTCTTGGGGGGACACACTCCTCCCAGGACAAGCCCTTCCACAAGGGCCGAGCCCACAGCGGCTCCAGCGTCACCTCCACCGGGCCCCAGCTCCACCCCCACATAACGTTTCCAGCTCAACTCAGGGTCTGTGGGGCTACTCCAGCTCCCACACAGAGGGCACAGAGCAGGACACAGCCAGGGACAGGAACACCCAGCAGCGTGGCTCCACACCCCTCCGCCCTCAGCAGGAGGAAGGGACCGGCCCACACAGCTCCTCCCCTCGAAGCCGCCTCCTCCGCTTCCCTTGCTGAGCCATCGGTAGGGTTTGAGGGATAACTAAGGTCTGTTCCATGACACCAGGGCACCCTGCCAGGATGGAAAGGGCAGGGAGTGGGGACGTGCCCAGTGCCAGGAAGCCAGGAGAGTGGGCTACCCTTCTGCATTCCCTTTTTTGTTTGGTCTTTTTGAGACAGGGTCTCACTATGTAGTTCAGGCTTGCCCTGAATTCATTTTGTAGCCCAGGCTATCCTCCAACTCGAAATGATTTTCCTGCCTCAGCCTCCCAAGTGCTGGGATGACAGACGTGCGCCACCAGACCCCGCTCTCTCTGTGTTCCTACAGCCCTTCTTTTCTGAGGCTGGGTCTTGCTGCATAGCCCAGGCTGGTCTTGAATTCTCAGCGATCCTCCTGCCTCAGGCTCCCCGGTGCTAGGATCAGGGAGTGCGCCACCGCCTTGTCTGGCTCTTGCGGCCCTTCTGACCTCTCTGCCACTGTGGTTTACCTTACTCTAGGGATCCTAAGAGGCTATTAAACCAGTGAAGATAAATGGTCTTGGCAGCATCACCTGGGCCCTAAAGCCCGCTCTGAGGTGGCTCCCAGGAAGGCAGACCCAGCCGCTGAGCAGCTCGCCAACCTGGTGGTGTGGGCAGCCTTGGGGGCTGCTGCACAGGCCACACTGTAGGCCCCACCACCCTAGCAGGGCCCGAGGAGCCCCTCCCCCAGGCCCACCCCAAGTCCTCAGACTCCCAGTGGCCTCTCCCCATTGGGCAGCCCCCGTGGGCAGCCCCACCGCCAGCCTGAGCCTGCCCAGCCATTCCTGCTCACTCAGGCAGTGACCGATGAAGTTCCTTATCTCCCGAACAGAAGGCCCTAGTCCTGCCTCAGTGAGCAGCCTGTGGAGCTGTTGACCCCCCTCCCGGGGATCTCTCTCTCTCTCTCTCTCTCTCTCTCTCTCTCTCTCTCCCCCCTGTGGAGCTGGTGACCCCCCATGTTTTCTCTCTCTCTTTCCTTTTGTGGTACCCAAGTATATCCTCTGCCCTTTAATTTTATTTTGAGACAGGGTCTCCATAAATTGCCCAAGCTGGGCTGGAACTTGCAGTCTTCCTGCCTCAGCCTCCCAGGGTGCTGGGATGACAGGCATGCACCGCCACGCCAGCTCCCCTTGGTAATTTCCCATCTAGGAATTCCCCAGCCTCCGGTCCTGTGGCATCGGAAGTTTGAGCTTGATTTCTGCCCCCTATTGTAACCACCCTGTCACCCAGGCAGCCAACCTGAATGAACTCCCCTCACCGTGCCCTCTCAGCAGCTGCTACCTTTGGGGAGCCAGGCCCTCAATCTGGACCCTCGTGGTGTCCTCTGCGCCCAGCGGAGACTATCACAGGTGCCAGCAGGCTGTGCCCGCCCTGGAATCTGAGCTCCTAGATGGTCCTGTGTCAGGGCATCCCACACATGGCCTGCATACTGTGTGGCCAGAAAATGCACTCACACAAGCCACGGGGCAGGGCAGCGAGGGCAAAGGGACAGGTGGCCAGCTTCCTCCTGGGCCTGCACACCCTGCCCTGAGCCCCAGAGCTCCTGGGCACACTGAGACAAGCACCTGTGTTTCCCAATGGGCCCCTGCAGGCCCAGAGAGGGAGCAAGTACGGCCCAAGGTCACACAGCAAGTCAGCAGCAGGAACACAGCTCAGATCCAAGGCTCTAGCCTCCCACCCCCCTCTCCCACAAGCCAGGCTGCGCCACCCCCACGCATCACAGGAAAGCCTCGTACCCAAACATTATGTAACCCATTGTTCATCGTGGAGCGGGAGGGGGCACCTGCGGGCTGGAGCAGAGGGAGGGGGCGTTCTGTACCTCCCCGGCTACCCCGGATGCCAGCTGCCCCCAGATCTCTAACTCCTGCAGACACCATGCCTCCATGTAATTCAGAGGTGTGGCCACACACCCAGGGTGGCAGGGGGCCCACCCCACGACAACCACACCCCTCCCATAGTGGGTGGGCACCCAGGGAACTGGCACCTCACGACACAGATGGTGCCAGGGAACCTCAGCCTGGAGACGTGACTCCCTCCCAGCCCGCCTAGGGCAGGTCCCAGCCCGCCTGACACCTCCCTCTGCCTGTGTGGATCATGCTGCCCCTGCCCAGTGCCACACATGGCCCTAACCTGTCACACAGGGGCAGGACCCTGCATAAGCCCTGCCCCACAGTGCCCATGGTTTGCCTGCCTGCACATGTGACATCTGGGGACAGACTGTCTTCTAGCTCCAGGACATCTGTGAATTATGTGGTGGCTAGCAGTGTCCCCAGACCTGGGTGGCGAGGACCCTGACGCCTGCCTTACAGAGGTGGAAACTGAGGCCCCTGCCGGCTCGGGCCTCCTTGGGACCATGTCTTCTGCTCTGCCTGCTCTTTCCCTTCATTCTCACTCATGTGACATCACTCTGTCTCCCAGCTGGGTCACACAGACCAAGGGATGCTCTCTGTACCCTGTCCCTGGACAGGTGGCACCTCTCACACGGTGCTGAGACTGACTAGGACCTGAGACACCGCCTGGGCCATCAAGGCTGGGATGGTCCAGCTGGGCCACAACACAGCAATTCTCAGCCAACGTCACAGTCACATAGCCAGAAGTGCGGGAGCAGGGCCAGGGCCAGCTGCTTCTAGCACCTTCTGCTCCTTCTGCACCCCGCTGTCTCAGGCCAGACCCAGGAGAAGGGCAGAAAGGACTCAAGGGGCAGCCTGGAACCACCGAGTGCCCAGATCAGGGTTCAGGTTTCCATCTGGGGCCCAGCCCCCGAGTCGCCAGGCCCTGCAGGCCTGATAAGCAGGAGTGCCCTGCACAGACAGGAACCTCAGACCAATGCTTCAAGTGCACAGTGGAAGGCAGTGGCCAGGGCCGAGGGTGGCAGAGACCCCTAGGGAGGGACAGCGGCCCTGGGCTGGCATCTGCACTCTCCACTGTGAGGGCCAGGGGGAGAGAGATCTGTCACTTTGTAAACGCACCAAGGCTGGCTGCCGTAGCTTGGTCCCTGATGCCCCAGCAGCCAGCACTGGCCCAGCACACAGCGGGTGCTCAGCAAGGACAGAATGAATGAATGCAGGTGTGCGTGCACACAGGGTCCCAGTCCTACACGGCCTGTGGTTCTCCCAGGCCCCACACCAGCCCCAGCACCGCCTTGCTCCATGCCCCGCAAGCCCCAGCCTGCCAGGACCTTGGCGCTCACTGCCCTGAGGTGGCACAGGGTGGGGCAGGAGAGCAGGCCCGCATCTCCCTGTCTCCCTCTCGTCTCCATCAAGGACAACGCGGCAGCAGCTGCGTTCTTCCTGCTGCGCTGCCAGCACCAGAGGTGGGAACAGCAAGCCAAGGGGACAACAGAGTAGTGCCCAGGGCTGCCTGGCGCCGGTGGCAGGGTGGGGGCACGGCAGTCCCTGCCATCTCTTCTCCAACTCCCCTCCTGCGCCCCCACGGAGCTTCGGCTCTGTGAGTTCCCAGCCCCAAGAGCCCAGGCACGGAGGTGGAAGGAGCCCAAGGCAGACCGAATGCCACACAGAGTTGTGTGGCTGGGCAAGCATCTCTCCTCTCCAAGCCTCTGTTTCTCCATCTGTAAAATGGGGCCACCCCGGGACTGGCCGCAGAACACGGCGCTAGGGACCAGCACAGTGCTGCCCATGGGGGCTAGGGGACATGACAGGAGGTGGCCTCACCGCCCTTCTTGCGTGGGATGGGCCAGCTGGTCCTGACAAGATGCCTCCAGGATCCCTTCTGCTGCCACCCACCGCCTGTCTTATTCTGCTGGGATGTTTGCTTATTATTGAAGAAAGAAAATACGAGATGATAACAAGGACGCATAATCTACAATCCCACCACCCAGCCCCTGGAAGCTGCAAAGGGTCTCTAAGCAGGAGGCCACCAGCTGAATCCCCTCAGAGACCCACACAGGACCCCTACATGGCCCACAGGTCCCTCTTTCCCTCTCCTACCCCATGTGTTGGCTGCTTGTGGGCTGGGCCCCAAGATCTCAACTTTCCCAGGGGAGAAGCTGACATCACGGATTATCTCATGAGCAAGGGGCAAAGGGGACAGTGGCCTGAGACCCAGCTGCTAGTCCCGAAGGCCTGTGCTGCAGTCCCAGGTACCGGCTTGCTCGGTGTGGCTGCAGCTGCCCAGAATGCTGGGGGAGACAGACCCTGCGTCATGATCTGTGATCCATTCCTCATGTCTACCAGGGGCACGGAGGGGACATGGAGGGCGAGGAGGCCACTGTCTAACCCCGTGGGGGTGTGGGTTGTGTGATGGCATAAATCTAGAATTCCCCCCAGAAGGCTCCAGCGGTCAGAGGTGGGGCTGGGAAGGCAGCTGGAGCCTGGGGACGCCACAGTCACCAGTTCCGTTAGGCAGCAGGACCAGGTGCAGTGGCCACTGGGACGCACCTGGAAGGGAGCACTCTCCTCCCTGCTTCCTCCCCTCCTCCCTGCTTCCTCCCCTCCTTCCTGCTTCCTCCCCTCCTCCCTGCTTCTTGGTCACCATGACTCGAGCACCTTTCCTGTCAAGCAAGCCCTTCCCACCATGCTTTTCTGCCTTGGAGGCAGTGGCCACCCACCAAATGCCTCAGAACCATAAGCCAAATTAAACTCTGGCTTTAAATTGCAGGACATTGGGGGAGATAGCTCAGTGGCATAAGTGCCTGCCTGGCAAGCCCAAAGTCCCGAGTTCAATCCCTGGCATAATACATACATACATACATACATACATACATACATACACACATACATAGTGGGGCCACCGTGATGATGGGACAGCTCCATGCGTCTGATCTGTTTTATTTATTTGGCACAGGGTCCACTACACAGCTCAGACTGGTAGTGATCCTCCTGCTTCCTCAGCCTCCCCAGTGCTGGGATCACAGGCATGTGCCACCACACCGGGTCTCAGAGAGTGCACACCCAGGACAGGGCCAGCACAGCAAGAGGTACTGTGAATTGAACCCAGGTCCTTGCACTTGCCAGGCAGGTGCTCATGCGCCAAGCTATCCCCCCGGCCCTGTTTTGTTTTGTGGAGCTCAGGCTGTCCTTGAACCCTTGCTAATCCTCCGGCCTCAGTCCCTGAAGCACTGGGATTATAGTCTGCAGCCCCATACCCAGCTCATGTCTGTTGCTTAACACCGTCCCGGTTACACTGACCACTGCCCTGCTGTGTCCAGGCCTCCTGGGGGATGCTGGGCCTGCTCATGGCTCCAAAAGCCTCCATTCCACCCTTCATCTGTCACTGCAATATCCACGCTGAGGGAAGAGCCCAGCTCTGGGCTCTCCCCACCTCAGATCACCTCCCAGCCACAGACTGCAGGCCACCTCTGAGCCAGTTTCCTCACCCGGCACATGGCAGGAAGAAGCCATGTCCACCCAGGATGGCTCTCGGGAATCAACCTGATCCTGTGTCAGAGGCATCAAGGGCAGCTGGGGAGAGGCAGAGAGGGACCAGAGCGTCCCAGGTTGTCAGGAGATTAAGAGCGCCCCCCTCAGGTGGGAGGTCCCAGGAGGGACAAAAGCAGATACAGAAGATATTGAAGAGTTCAGTTCAAGGGACAACAGTTAAGGCTGGATGGAGGGCAAAGGTAAAAGGACACAGGGAATTAGGCTGTCCTGTGCACGCCTGTAATCCCAACACTGGGAGGCTGAGGTAGGAGGATCACAAGTTCCAGCCCAACCCAGGCAACTTATTGACTTAGCGAGACCCTGTTTCAAAATAAGAAATACAAAAAGGGTTGGAGATGGAGATGTGAGGGGGAAGGGGAAGAGAGACCAGGCAGTGTGGCCAGACGGGCCAGCAGGGATGGGCTGAGCAGGGTCTAGGAACCACATAACAGACGTGAGGGTGAAGACTTCACCCGTTGTCTAGGGTGGGGCCTCACAGAAGCCGGGCAAAGACCCCCATGGCTGCTCAATGCGTGGGGAGGAGAAAACACCTGGGTAGAAATCTAGGAAGGCTTCTTGGAAGAGGAGGCCAGGTCTCCCCTACTGCCCAAGTCACAGTGACACACAAGCTACCCCATCTGACCCTGCCAGAAGCAGGCATCATTAATCCATCACAGAGCTCATCCATCTAACCTCAGAATCCTTCCTAACACAGCGGCCAGGCAGCCACTGCCAATGATCAGAGCTGGCATCCAGAGAAAACCTTCCTGTCAGCCTTGATCCAGTATAAGCGATCATTTTACAAAAGAAGCAACTGAGGCAGATTTTTCAAGGTCACAAGAGGAAGCATCCCCAGCCCCCAACTAGCTCCACTGAAGCAGAGGCTGAGGGCACCGAGATGAGGGTCCCTATCACAGGCACCCGGCCAGCCCACCCCACGGCCAGCACGGAGCCCCCCCAGCCCCCACATGGAGAAGGCAGCTACTTACCACTGCTGCACCTCCTTCTCGGTAACTGCAAGAGAAAAAACAAGAGTGGTCTTTAGTTTGAGAGATGACCCCAGTGTCCCCCCTGCCCTCTCACCCCAAGGCTTGCCCACCCAGCCGTGGGCAAATGGGACCATGTGCCCTGGTGAACAGTCCCAGACACAAGCTCTGTGCCAGACACCCTGGCATGAGACAGCACTGGCCGAGTCTTCCCGCTGTCCCTGCAGCACCCTGGTCCCTCGGGGTTCACTTTCCTAGCACGAGACATTCTCTGTCCTCTCTGCCCCTGAGACAGGAGGGTCCGTGGTGGTGCTGGGTCCCTGGCACTCAGCTGCCACCACCTATGAGTGGGTTCCAGGCTGCATGGGCACCACTCTCTGCCCCACGGCCCCCGCCCTCACCCTGCACTCCAGGCCTTTGTGACAGCAGAGACCCAAAACCTGGACCGAACAGCCCGCACTGGAGCGGCATCCAAACAGCCTCTTCCAGCCACCAAGCATCGAATCGGGCCAACCAGATGATGGCTCCCTCTCAAACCACCTCCATGGCCACCATCGCCCATCTCCCCTTTGTGCAACCTAGAGGGAGCGCTTCCCTGTGCCTCAGTTTTCCTGTCTGTAAGGTGGGAAGAACAGTACCTGCCATATAGACCTGTCCCCAGAATTCAATCACAACAGAATTAGAAGCTTCTGGGTCCCCAGGATGGGGGCGGCCAGGTACCAGGCAAGCTGGAATCTGTTCTGGGGGCATGGTGGGAAGCAGAGGGGTCCCAGTAGTGGGTGTGGACACACACATGGGGGGCCACACTGCAAAACTTGTCATAGCTTGGGACATCCAGTGCCCGCAGGACCAGAGTCCAAATCCCAAGGCAGCATGGAGGGACCTGGGTGGTGGACGAGCCACCAGGCTGGGGTAGCCAGCCTGAGCTACACAGTGAGGTCAAGGCATCCTGGGAGACACAGCAGGACCCTGTCTCAAAACCAGTCATAGTACACTGCTGATAATGACAGCACAGACAGGAGCTTAGGGCCCTCGGCTCTGGGGCTGCCCTAGGCCACCTGGCTCAGACCCAGCCTGTGCTTAGCAGCTGTGAGTCCTCAGAAAAACCACTTCCCTCTCTGCACCTCGGTTTCCTCATCTGTAGAATGGGCCTGTGGGGAGGACAATGCATTCACTACTCAGCAACTGCACAGGAGCCCCACAGGCAGGCAGGTCCCCACTGTCCCTGGAAGGAACCCGAGGCCCAGCCCCTGCTCGGGTTCTCTTGGGGGGCCCCAAACCCAGCCTCCCCAAGCTCCTGCCCACTTTATCCTCATGGATTTGCCTGAGCCGGCCTCAGTGAGAGGAATAATGCCCATCCCGGGAGCAGTGCAGCACGCTCTAAGAGACAAAAGGATAAACCGGGTGCGGCAGCTCACACTGGTCACCCCAGCACTCAGGAGGTCAAGACAGGAGAGTCACCACAAGCTCGAGGCCAGGCTACGCGATGAGCTCAAGAACAGCCTGAACCACACAGTGAGACCCCGTCTCAAAAAATAAAACCAGGGCCAGGGAGATAGCTCAGTGGTCTAAGCACCTGCTTGGCAAGCACAAGGACATGGGTTTGATCCCTGGTACCACAAGCTCTGCTGGCCCCTCACTATGCGGGTCATTGAAACTGGGCATGGTGGTGCATGCCTGTAATCCCAGCGCTGGGGAGGGTGAGACAGGAGGATCACAATGAGTTCAAGCTGCTTAGCGAGACTGTGTACCAAATAAATAAATACACTTGTAAAAATAAAAAATAAAACCAAAACAAACATGCAACTTTTTTTTTTTCTTTTGGCGGAACCGGGGATTGAACTCAGATCTTTGCGTTTGCCAGTCAAGCGCTTATCCTACTGAGCCATCTCCCCGGCCCCAAGCATGCAACTATTAAGAGAAAAGGTGACTGACCTTGGCCCCACCAGCCTGTGCAGTCACAAGACATGGCAACGCCACAGCACTGCAAGGAGGGTCATCTCATCCCTGGGCAAGCACTCCTGCCCAGAGTCAGATTAGCAGGAGGCACACAGAGACCCAGCACAAGGGGAGAGACAGGCTCCCAGCTGGCCAGATGGGCACCTCGGGAAGCCAGCATCATGCAAGGCCGGGTCAGGTTGGATGAACGTTTCAGAAAGAGCAAAAAGCTGAGGCCACCAAACAAAACTCAGGGTGTGGGGCGAGAAAAGGACAACAGGGCACTTCTCTGGACTCCAGATGGGGTGCACAGGGCGCTGTGGCTTCCGGTGGCATGGAAGGGCAGAGATGCTGGCCCTCTTTGGCCCAACACAACCTGTGTGGCCAGAAGCGCTGGGGCTGAGTAGTCTGCCAGGGGCCTGCCCTCCCCCAGGGCCAACATCACTGCAGCCTCCCCCCTGCTCTGCCCAGGTACAGGGGTGACCTGACCGAGACAGTACACTCCCATCCCCCACTGCCCCAGCAGCAGCCAAGCGTGAAATTCACCCAGCCTGCAGGCCCTGCCTCCACCTCCCGGGCACAGGGCTCAGGGCCCAAGGAGGCAGAGCAGCCCCCCAGCCTCCGCAGCCCCCCACATCTGCATCAGGAGTTCCCTGCTGACACTGGGCCCAGCACAGCACCGTACTCCTTGGCTGGTCCTGCCCCCCTGCTTGGTAGTGGGTGACCCCAGCCACACGCACCCTACTGACCAGTAGGGGTGACCAAGGGGAATAGGAGTGGGATTCGTAGGGTCCCCAGGCTCCCTGCCGTGTCTGGTCCGGGGATGGGGGCTGGATAAATGGCCCCATATCTGAGCCTGGGGCTGTCCAACTGCACAGCCCTGATTCATGGTGGACGCTCCCCCAACCCCCAGCCCAGAGAACAAAGCCTGCCGGTCCAGCCTTGGCCATCGGAGGAATTTCACACGGACTCATTCGCTGGCACAAGCACACGCGTGCACACACACACACATACAGCTGCAGACCTAGACCAAAGTGGGCAGACCTGGGGGTTCCGCGCGTGTCCCAGGCTGCTGTGGGGGCTTACAGACTGGGTTCCTCTGGACAAGTTACTTAACGGCTCTGACACTCCCAGCCATCATCTCTAAATCAGGGTACAGCGGTCCTGGAGGCCCTTGCTTTCCGGTACTGACTGAACCTGGGCTTGGCACTGAGCTCCATTTCCAGCCCTTTTGTAATTTTTATTTGGAGATGGGATGAGTAAACTGCCCAGGCTGGGCAGGAGCTTGCGATCCACCTGCTTCCGCCTTCCGAGTGCTGGAGTGGCAGCTGGGCACCATGGCACCTAGGTTTTTTCTTTTTGCAGTGCCTCATGCACGCTAGGCAAGCGCTCTGCCACTGATGTATCTCCAGGCTTTTTTTTTTTTTTTTTTTTTTTTTTTTTAACTGGAAGTCAAACTCAGGATGTTGCGCTTGTGCAGCTGAGCTACATCCCCGACCCCTTTTAATTTTGAGACAGGATCTTGCTAAAGTGCCTAGGCTAGCCTTGAACTTGCCATCCACCTGCCTCAGCCTCTCAAAGGAGCAAGGATTACAGGCCTGTCCCCTGTGCCATCGCAGTCCGCACTTTGCTGGGCTCGTGAGAAGTGGACAGAGAATTTGGCAGCTCAAATCGGGAAGACACAGGACAGAGCAGGGCTGAGTATTCCCCCAGCAGGGGCTGCAGGGGCAGAGGCTCTGACCCAGGCCCCGCCCCCAAGCCGCAGGCGCAGGTGCCCCAGAGCCCAGGCCCCTCCCCCACCCTCCCAGCCCCCCAGCCCCCACCTCCTGCCTGCCAGGAGCCCGCTCCAGAGCCTCCCAGGAGCCCTGGATGAAGGCAGGGCCTGGTTTTCACTTCCTTAAAGTGAATCCCTGCCGAAGCTCAGCAACAGCGCCAGAAGGGGTCCGGGTTGGCGGCTCCCCACCCTGGTGGGGCAGGAGCACGGGAAGAGATCCCAGCAGCCGCCCCTCCTGGGCAGTCCAGCCATTGGCCCAGGGGAGAAAGCAGGGGCCTGGCCACCAGTGACCCCTCTGATTTTATTTTATTTTTTTCTGAGACAGGTTCTTGCTATGTAAACCAGACTGGCCTCCAATTCAGTGATCCTCCTGCCTCAGCCTCCTGAGTGCTGGGATTACAGGTGTGTTAGCACTCCAAGTGACTCCTCTAACTCAGACAGTCCCGTCCCTCCAGATGGCACTGACCACTGCGTCCTCCCTCCAGCCAGGTAGCTCGAAGCAGACACACCTCATGCCCAGACCCTGCCCTGCACAGTGCCCCTGGGTGGATATCCTGCTCCCCTCAATCCAGCTCCCTCCCGTGCCTCATCTGGGCCCTACCTGTATCCCTCCCAAGCAGGTGTCAACAGCCCTATGTGGTCACTTGTGCCCCACCCCTACATACTAGGCTTGGGGTCAAAGGTCAGCAGGGCCACACTTCTTGGGGGAGAGGACTCTTCATTCTCCATTCCTGGGGTGCCAACAGCAGAGCTTCTCCAGGGAAAGGGAACCCACATACCTTGTAGCCCCCAGCCAATCCAAGTGGGGGCACTGCCCATGAGGAACACAGTGTCAGTCTCCCTTAGGACATCCATGGGACCTGGGATCCAGGGGCCTGCACTCTAGTCTCCTGTCTGGCCTCAGTTTCCCCATGTGTGACGGGAGGTGGCTCACAGCAGATCTCAACTGGCCAGGGGGCTGCACTAGGTGGGCAGTGGCTCCTGGGGGCACCCACAAAGGAGCCCGGCTGACTGGGGGAGGAGATCCTCCCTGAGTGCAACACCCAGGGCTCTGCAGGGCCCACCATGCCCCCTGTGTGCCTTCCAGCCCCCACCTCCGGCCTCAGGCCATCCAACTGCCACTGACGGACAGAGCTGCAGTCACCGCGGCTGTGTATGGTCTGCCCTGCACTGGCCCCTCTGCCCAGGAGTCACCAGGATCTCAGAAGTGCAGGGTGTCACCCATCCCTCAAGAAGAGCCCCAGGCTGAGGCCACCAGGGCAGCTGGCTTCCTCCCCTGCCATAGCGCTGCAGAGGGCACATGGACACTCACAGCC